TACTTAGTAAGGGTTATAATTCCTAAGCGCGGCCGAAGGCCGCCTACTCAGAAAGAAGTTCGTTTTCATGTATGCACTATTTCGGTTTTTGTCATATGCATTACTTCGGTTTTGAGTCGAAACTGTGCATGTATGCATTACTTCGGTTTTTGTCATATGCGTTATTTCGGTTTTCAAACGAAACTGTGCATATATGCATTATTTCGGTTTTTTTCATATGCATTATTTCGGTTTTCAACCGAAACTGTGCATATATGCATTATTTCGGTTTTTTTCATATGCATTAATTCGGTTTTCAACCGAAACTGTGCATCTATGCATTATTTCGGTTTTTTTCGTATGCATTATTTCGGTTTTTTTCATATGCATTATTTCGTATGCACAGTTTCCATATGCACAATTTCAGGGTGCCGAAAATAAACAGTCAAAGAGAAGCTGGTAAAAGAGAGGTATGTCCAGAGGTGGATGAGGACAAGGCAAAGTAAGTATTTCGTTGAAAAGATTTTTCAACTTGGAACTCAAAGATGGACACCAAAAGCAAGGTCGCCCACAAATGCCCCGGAAGGACCTGTCGGTACTTGAAATGAACTACTTTGCAAATGAAAGAGCCGAATAGTGGCGTTTTTTTTTTGTTTCGCACCCAACTAAGTCCAATATGTATAGCCGGATAAATGTTGTACAGCAATGCGTATATGTACATTAGGGTGGGTCAATTAGTAGGTCAATTAAAAAAGTTGATTCATATCCTTGCGATTCTGGTACTATGGACCATAACAAACATCATCGCCCAAGGAACCATACCTCTAAAATCATTTTCGAGCCTGCCAAAATTTTTTGGTAGATATTTTCAAAACTACCAAATAAACGACCTCTTAGATGCATTTCAAAGACAAAAAAATATTATTGAAAATGTGTATACGGGGGTTTTTTGGGTCAGAGAATCCTTTTTTCGCATTAATTTTTAATTTTGATCGCAAAAAAATAATAAAAAAAATAAAAAAAATAAAAAATAAAAAAATAAAGCAAAATAAAGAAATAAATATTTTTCCATTATTTTAAATTATTAGAAAGTCAAAGATTTGACTATTTGAGCAATAAGTTCGTCAATTTCCCCCAAAAAAAGTGAAAAATCCAAAAAATTGTTCAAAAACGCCTCTGGTGGCGATCAAAATTAAAAATTAATGCGAAAAATGGATTCTCTGACCCAAAAAACCCCCGTATACACATTTTCAATAATATTTTTTTGTCTTTGAAATGCATCTAAGAGGTCGTTTATTTGGTATTTTTGAAAATATCTACCAAAAAATTTTGGCAGGCTCGAAAATGATTTTAGAGGTATGGTTCCTTGGGCGAAAATGTTTGTTATGGTCCATAGTACCAGAATCGCAAGGATATGAATCAACTTTTTTAATTGACCCACCCTAATGTACATATATACAAACATTAATTATACGCTCGCATAACGCATGTTCCCAATTGCGCACTGAGTCAAATACTTACTTCCGCTACATCTTCAAACACATCCTCATAGCTATACCTTAACATATCTGTATATGCACGATTTAGCGCAAAATCTATGCGCTCAATTGTATGTATGTATGTATGTATGTACTTACCCGGAAGAAATCCCACGTAGAGCCATGCAACAGCGTACCATACTGCACTTCCGTTTGCATAGCTAAGTCTTCGGGTGAATTGATTGGTGTCACCATTCGTTCGACTGTGAGAAATGCTGCCAAATTGGCTGTGTACGATGAAATTAGAATGAGCGTGAAAAACCACCAAGCGGCGCCAACTATGCGACCGGAGATGGAACGCGGTGATATGTCGCAGCCCTGTTGCATGAAGGCGGCCAAGGCAAACCAAAATGAATTCAAAATGCTAAACTCGTTGACCGCTGCGGTGGCGGATGTGCCGAGGCCAACACTTCCGGGCACACCACCAGCACCTACCACACCGCCAATATTGGCCGGACTGGCAGTGGCGCTGGTCGCACCGGTCATTGGACCGGGCACAGGTACACCGCCAATGATGCCAGGCGGCTGTTGATTGGCCATTTGTTCGTGATGTGCATGCGAATCTGCAGGAAAAGAGAAAAGAGGATTACATATCGTACATATATATATATATATATATATGTAGTAAGATAAGTAAGATGTGGGTAAGCAATAATAATGGGAGGGAAACGATAAAGTTCAACATTCATACATTAAACACGAATAGGCATACATATATGTACGTAGTTGTGTGTGTGTGCTTTGACTTGTTTACTCAGTATTTGTGTATTGGTGGCATTAACAGCAAATTCTAGGCATTTATATGCAGCTCAAAAACAGCAGCCGTTTATTCCCGGCGCTTGTGTGCGAATTTATGTGTGTGTGTATGCGTGCCTATTGGGCATTGTGTCTGCTTCATTGGTTATGGCGCTAACGAAAAGCTTGTCTGTCACTATTAAATTGGGCGCCTATGAATACCGCATATCGCACGCTGAGCGCGGCACAAAGTCAGGCCCTGCATGCCACATATGCACATACATGCCAAATTCTTTAGCATGCTATGTGCTCTAGTACGTGCGCTGTATGCCATATGTGGCAAGGCATTTGCGGCATCTCGCATTCAACTTTTGCCGTTACTACTATTTTTGGAAGAATTTTCGCCATTTAGTTCTTTCGTACCATCCATTCTTTCGTAGCTGTTATTCCTTATTTTTTAGTTGCTTTTGGCAATTTTTTCTACATTTTTGCCTTTTTACGCTGCTTCCGAATTCCTTTTTAGTATTTAACTATGAGTTGAACACGCATACGGATTACAAGTTATAACCTGGCAGGAAAATGTATGTAAAGTAAAATATAATAAATTTTTTTATTTAGGAGTCTCGAGCCAAGCTCCTTTCGATTTTTCTAGATTAAGTAAGGTTGGTTTAGGTGATAGTCCCCAATTGGATATACATTTGGACACTTTGTGATACTATGTGATTTTGAACGACAACCACTACTCAATCTATGAAACTCTGCAAGCCAATTGCGAGACCGCTGACAAGGTTTACAACGATCTCCGAGACCACTTGGTCCTGGGTTGGTTGTAAACTGCAAAACTGCACTGCAACTGAAATCTTAAGTTCCCTAAAGCTGTACAGAAGATAGTGTTGAAGTGATTCCATCTCATCATCCTCCAGCTAACTGAGGTAATATGTTTATAAGCGATTTTTGATCTCAAATAAGAAGATACTTTAAACGAAGAACCTTCAAACTCCACATATTCTAGTTTTCTCCCAGCCTTCAAGGAGCTAATTTAAGTCCCACTTCCCCAAAAGTGAACCCCAGCTCGTAAAATCTTTAATTCCAACATATGTGCCGGGGAAACGTTACGCGAGTCTGGAAGCCAAAAAATTACAGTGAAACAGAGTTTTAGAATGTCCCTAACAACTGGTTCACGAATATTCGATGCAGAGAGCTGCAGCTTTTAAAAACTCATTGCCAACCCATTTTTGTCCGAAATTACAACAAAATTTAAATACATTACTAATACTAAAGACGACCGAACTCTATGTGTTTGATTAGCGTATCTTTAGCAAATGCCAGTGGATTGAGTCCCATAAAGCATAATAGGCTTCACTAAGGTTTCATAGAACTAAGTTATTACTTTGGGTGAGATACCTTATCTCTTATCTACAGCTTTTCTTCTGAAACATAAAGCAACTGACGACTTCCTAACCAAGCACTTGATCCTCTGAGAAAACGGCAAGCGAATAAAAATCACAAGTACTTACTTGTGAGTAAGATCAGTTCCGTATGCTGATCAATCGGTCTTTCTAGCGTCTTCAGCAGAAATAAAGATACACTAATTGGCTTCAAGTCCTTAGGTAAAAACTAGATCTCTTTCTGGCCTTCGCAATAAAGAAAGACCGATGACTCTCCACGCACGATTGCTAGTCGACCACAAACACGATACCTCTAGATATTTTTGCAGCTGTGTAGGGTTCGAGGATTTGACGGACTTAAACAATGCAATGAAAAAAGAGAAGGATATTGTTTCTATACAGTCATACAATAAACAAACTCAGGGTTCGATAGTGTACAGAGAGACTTTAAAAGGCATTCACTCAGACCTGCAATCAACTTCTTGAGCTCTCGCCCTGTGAATGCCTTAAGTGGAGCCAAGTTTCATATGCAGCACTGGAAGGGCTGGAAGGTTAAATTTCTAGCTACCTAGCTGAGCATACTAAATAAGTACCTATACAGCTAGTGAATTAAGTATTACATTTCCCATCAAATCTACACAGCTACGCTTCTCTTGTTTCGGTTTTAGTCTGACAAAAATAGAACAGCGATGGTTTCAAGCACATATCGTGATGCTTCAAGGATGCGCAAAAAAGTGAAGCAGAATCTAAAACAAGGGTTGCTTGCTGTTTAGAAAGAAATAGGTGCAGTTGTAACATGGGGGGTATGTTGAGTGGTAAGAAAATTATTGAAGCAAAGATCCCGACAAAATTGTACCATTGTTGCCTTTGCTGAAGACATACTACCACAAAACAAAGAGTTATATCAGAAAGGGTTTGTGAAAGTGATTAAATTTAGTTTGGAGCTTTTAAACTATATGGGGAAAAATCGGTGGAAAAAGCTTATGTTATCATTCGGGAGAGGATATAATATTCTTATCCTAGGTGAATATAATAATTAATATCCATAGCATTTGAAAGAGATATTAGGTAGAGCAGCTGGTTATTGATAGCATGTTCTTAATATCAATATACCCACTTTGAAATCCATTCACTGAAACTGAAAGCTCTATACTTTTGATAACAACAACCCGAATAGCGTAAACTAAAGAATCTGCTCTTTACTTTTGATGTCAATGGCGACACAAGTAGATTTCGCCTCATAATTAAAACCAGAGCATAATTTTACCCGACAAAACCGAAAAACTTTTATTTTAAACGAAGGATGCGTTGGAGCCTTGCGTTGGCATTACGAATTATGACATTTATAATGCTCGCTTACCGAAATTAAAAATTCTATCTATGGTAAAGATCCAGCAGTACCCCCTTCGATACGGAACTAAAAACTGCAGCCCTAACTACCTACATAGATAACCATTCGATTTTCCTGCAGACTGCAAAAGTAAACTTGTATGTATGTCGTGATTGTTTTATTTGTACATATGTATTCGACGTCCGGCCGGTTCAAAGCACCGTCATCCGACTAAGGGCCGAACTAAATGTAGTAAGTGAGGATGATGAAATTTCGTTAGCAGCACGAAAATTTTTGTTGGCCATTTTTGGTTACAGACATGCATGCACATATGTATGTAAATATATATGAAAGCATATACTACATATGTATGTGTATGCGCCTTTATGTGTATACATATGTACATACATAAGAGAAAGCTTTTAGAAATTAAATTAAGGCACAGCCTTCATCTGATGGATGTTCTGCTGCTGCTGCTGTTGGCGCGAAGCAACAACATCAACAACATGGAAATATTTCAGTAAGTCAGACAACTCGTTGGCATTTGCATGACTAAATACATACATACATATGTACATACATATAGCAAACTATATAGTAATAGTGATGTACATATGTACATCTGCCTGTAATGCTGGGTTTTCCATGACTCTTTGACTGCTTGTCCGCCTTGCTTGCCTGCATCCTCTGTCACTATAATTTGTGACTTTGATGTGGAGCCAGATTAGAACGAGTGAATTAAATGAACGCATCCTAATTGAAAGGATTTGTGATTTGTGGCCAGGATTGCTGCTAAATTGCCAATCGAATTGTCCGTCACATATGTACATACACACATACATACGTACCTACGTATAGAATTAGCTACGAGCATTTTAAGTGTAGCAGCAAAGGGAGTCTATGAATTCGTTGGAAAGGAAATCGATTGCCGAATAGCAAAAGAGACGAGGAGACAAAAACAAAAAGGAAATTTAAATTTTAAGTAAAGTACTAAGCTTGGTAAATATACGAAGTGAAAGTAGATTGAGTTGTAATTATTTAAAATGGAAGAACTTTGCTCTATGAGATTTTAATTAGCAAACACGAATTTTGGAATAGTACGTTGACGGAATTAACGTAATTAAAAAAAATTAAAATTGTTAAACCTGAATTGGAAATTGTATTTTTTTCGTTTTAGAGCAACGAAAATTAAGACTCTTGCGCAGTCCGACTTTAGTAAAACAGTAATTAGGGGATTTGTAAAAAATTAAATGAAGTTATTAGTTTATAATTTTAGAGTCAAATATGTACTTGATTCAACCAATACTTCAATACTTAATATACAAAGTTCTTGTAAAAGTACTAAAAAGTAGAAAATAGTTTTCTTAGTCCCTTAGAATTTGTTACGATAAATTTTGATTTTAAAATTTTAACAAAAGTCATTATCTATAAACAATTTGTGGGATTTAAAATGAGAAACGCACCCGAGGTGTAATTTTGCAATAGGTATTAAAATGATTCAACGATATTCAGATATTAAAAAAAAAAAAAAAAAATGTTAGGCTCTCACCCCCTAGGGTTTTTCCGAATGCAAAATTATACCCGTATTTTTTTTTTGTTTAAGGTAAATAATAATTCAAAGCCCGTGAAAAACACTTTATTGTAGAAATGGTATAAAATTCTTGAAAATCAATATTTTTTGGTCGGAAAACTCGATTTCCCTTCAGGACACTTCCAGTAATAATACACAACTTTTTATTTTACCATTTTTTAATACTTACGATTTTCTATTGGTACCCCCCTTTTATTTTTTTTGGTGATTTGGGGGATATAAACAATAGTTTTTATCGCTATAAAATATACGGAAAACTTTCAGCGCTTTGAGCGGCCTATATGAGCAGCAATTAACTTCATTTAAAGAAATGCATACAGTGGCGTGTCGTGCAGTTCCGGTGCAGCGGAGTGCATATTTTTAGGCGCAGTAATAATAATGAGGATATGAAACATATATATACTTCCGGCGGGGTAGATGTGAAGACTAGTTTTGCATGTTCTATGAACTTTACTATAATATCTCTTGTTGTGTGGACAAACAAGAATCCGAAATGATATAAAAGTGGTAAAAAAGAGGGAAGCGATTCTTGCCTTCTTGTGAACAAGACTTTTAAGGCGTTTTTTTTTTGTTAGGTTATTTTGAACGATCTATAAGGTTTTACGCCAACAGTATGTATACATTTTAGGGCCAGTTTCTCAATGTCTGGTTAACACAAGCTGCAGGTTAAACATCGTATTCGACGTGATCGAATCCATAATTTAATTTAATGGGGAGTGGAAAACGTCGATAAGGGTGTTTAACTTGTAGTTAGTGTTAGCCAGACATTGTAAACCTGGTCCTTTTCGGGAACTTTAAACAAATTGCTTGTTCTTAGGCTCCCAATATCCATCAGTCAAGAGAAAGGTGAGGATCTAAGGTTTCTAACTTCCGGTACAACTTTGCACTTAGCACTAGCCCTAAATTACACCTGATTTCACCAGCGATTTAACCGTTAACGTGCTCCTGTCGTTGCTTAGAATGCTATGATCCTTTGAGTACAGCACTTTTTTTAGTTTTTCGCTATTGTTTGTGTAAGATGGTTGTTAAAATTAAAGTTTTATGCGTTTGGGTATATACTCAAGTTATCTGATAATGAATATCTGGAAATATGATAAATATTTTTTTATTTAGTTCAACAGTATTTTACAAGTCATATACTTTTGTGAGCAAAGAAAGTTTTGGTGGTTTATTTAAGGCATATTAATTTTTTGTTATAAAAGTCCAGCTGATTTTATAACAAACGCCTGACTAAAAAAGTTATAACAAATATACAACTTTTTTATTCGAGATTTTTTGCAAAAATTTTAGGAGTGTAGTTTTATAGCCCATTCAATTTTAGTTCCATTAAGAGCTCACTCACTCTTCGTCTTGAGGCTGTAAGCATATATTTTTTTTACTTTTGTGCTGTAGTGTGGAAGTATTATTTCGACTGTCCTGCAAGAAGTTAATGCACCCCACAAGGATTTCGTCTTTGACTTCATAACTACAACCTAAAAGAGTTCAGATAAAAGGAAAGCAATTTTACCGCCATTTTAGCCAACTTGTATTCCTTGCTGAGGTTTTCTTCGTGTGTAATATCTGTAGTAAAATATTGAGAAAAGTTGTTGCACTCCGGAAAGTGGTGAGCCTCCCTTTGCTGTCTTCAGTTAATTTACTATATTTAGCATATTTGTGAAACACTGAGTGGGTAGTCAGAAATGTCAAGAATGCTCCGAAGTCTCTATGCCTCAAAAATCGTTTTAATGATAACAGAAGTCCTACTGCGATCTTCTATGGTTCCCTTGTTTTTTCATAGTAGGGTTGTCATTTTCCTTATTCTACAACGTGGTCCTAGATCTGCTTTTTGTGCTCGAGAGTGGACGTGAATTTGGTACGCTAAAAGCGGCTTGCTTGTCAAGATCTCCATCGCCTACTCAATATATTCAATTAAGTTGAGTCAAGAGACACCATCTTAAAAGCTTTTCAAGATACTTTCGATGAGTTTCATGGTAGAATTATGAACAGCTGAAGTAATAAAACAGCTTTCTTATTTTCTCAATTTTCTTGATTTTCGGCTTATAGAAATTTTAAGAGACACATTTTCAGATAAGATAGTGTTGATTTTTTTTTCTCAATCTAATTACTACAACTGGTATAATTTCACCCTCGATGGGTTCAAAGTTTTATTGCCAAAACTCCTTAATGTCATTTAGGGGTTGGGAAGAAACTACGCTTGTGTTATTAAAAAGAAAAATATTTATATTAGAAAAGTTTCCCTAAATTACAGCACATTCATAACATTTTGCGAAATTTTTAAACAAAATTATGTGTAAACCTAAAAGCGCTGCTCACCAAGAATTCTTTTTTCACATTCCACTTGTAATCCGTATGCACATAAATAAGTATAACTACACGTACCTATTACTCTTTTTAAGTATGTATGTGCATGCATTTGACAAATCCATTTACGTACAAGAAGCATTCCTGTAACACTTACCTGTCTGATATTGCACAATGCGCCATTCGTACGGTGAGAAGCGGGAAACAAAGAATAGCACAATACTAACACCAATGTAACTGAAAATGACGCTCATCTGCCCCGCAAAAGAGTGTGGTAGAAAGCACAAAAGCACGACGATGATGATGATGATGGCACCGGCAACAGCATTCGCATGTAAAGAGAAGAAATTCACTTTAAGTTAGTAACTTCCAACATTTCATGGAAATGAAATTGCAAAAAAAAAAGTTAAAGCTCTTTCAAATGGCAAAAATTTGTCGGCTGCATTTCGGAGTATTGCTTCAGCAACTTCAGCTGGCGGTATGTATGTAAATACTAGTAATATCAGAATCAAGGAGGTCTTAAGAGACAACGAAAAAATGTATGCAGCAGTTGCTTGGTTTGAAAAGGAAGTGAATGTGTCGGAATGAATATAAACCATAGAGAGATATGCGTAATCACAGGTAGATCATTAATACCAAGCGAAAATTCAAAACACCCTAGCTTCGCTTGATGCCATTACAAGCAACTAATGAAAGATACCGCACTGTGTTCTATTTTGCAAAAAAATATTAAATATTTAAATAAATGTAAGAGCATTTTAGAGCTTTTTAGGTGGACAATTAAGGAAAATAGTCTTTTTGGATAAAAGAATTACATTGACCTTTAAAATAACCTTCAAATAAAGTAGGTTTAATTTTTTTATTTTTTGACCTGAAATCAGTATGGAATGGACTTTTTAAAAGTTTAAATACACGTTTTGCCATTCGTGCGTTAACGAATCCATTTCCTAAATGCAACCCAAAATGTTTCTTTTAAAGGTCTAGTAGACCTTTTGAAGTTATTTCTTTTTTTTATTTAACTAAAAACAGACTGCAATGAATTAAAAAAAAATCGACAATGAAAATGGAACTAAGACTTTTAAAAAGTACATTGCATACTAGTTTCATGTCAAAAAAAAGAAAGAAGTTAAAACCCTCTCTTTTTGAAGGCAGTTAAAGCTTGGTAATTCTTTCATCCAAGGAGACTATTTTTCCTGAATTATAAATTTAAATCCCGAGGGTAGGATATTTAATTTTTTTTCCAAAATAGAACACTGTGCGCCGTAACTAGAAATTTAAAGAGCCCTATTTTTTCGTAAAGGGCAATATTTAATAAAAGTTTATATAAAAATCATCTCTTATCTCATATGATATGAAATTAACGCCTTGCTTATCTAAAAAGTGTTGAATGTTGCATTTCTAAAAAAATATTTTAGTATCTAACCTCAATTAGCCCAAAACATTTGCATATATTCTTTTGTTTAAATTTCTTTAAGCTTTGCCTTTGTTGCCTTCAACTAATTGTAGCTTAAATTAGAAAGTCACAATTTCTCTTACTTTAATCTGCTCGACATTCGCATTGCACGCTGGAGAATGGGGCTTAATTTAATTTCCTGTGAGTAACCTAAATTTCTTTTCTTAGGCTGATTACCCGCTGCGACTTTCCCTTTCACTTAGCTTGTTAGCTTTGTTGCCATTTGTTTTTCGTTATTATTAAAGTGACACGCTTTTTATTAGCTTCACAACTTTTGGTATTTGCAAAACTTTGAATATTAACAAAAACATGGAGACATGTGTGTGTGTGTGTGTGTGTTTGTATGAGCTTGTGCCGCATGTGTACAAATTTGTTTGCTCAAGAGTGTACACACCCAGTAGAACTTGGGAGCATCGTACGATTGCTCGGTGAGTACTCCCTTGGGAGTATACTAATACTCCCCATTGCTCCCTATGCTTCTGTGTATAAGCATGTAATTTTGTATACTCCCTTTAACATTGGATGTCCTAGGAGGGGGAGTAATCCCTTTTACCTCCTAAACGAGCAATCGGGGAGCACACACAGAATTATCATCCCACAAACCTTCTAATGGAGCAATACGGGAGTACTCCCATAGTTACCTCCCAGAAACCTCCCAAAAAGACAACAAGGGAGTGCACATAGAAAACATCCCATATACCTCCCGAACGAGCAATAAGAGAGTGCTCCCATTAGAGGCATCCCGAAAGCCTCCTATAGGAGTAATAAGAGAGAAATGATAACGAACATTTTAAATTAGCCAAATAGATTTTGCTATTTATTAAATTTTTTATTTAACTTTTTAATCACGTGCATTTGTGCTAATTTTACAAGACCTTAACAGATATAAGTACGAGAGCAGATAAAACATAAATTATACGTCTTACATAATTGCTTAATTTTAGAATTACATTGCAGAGAAATCATATGAAAGTAAAACGTAATAATAACAAAACGGTAAGATAAGATATGCACATATAAGTATGTACTCGTATATGATTTCCTGGTTGTCAAGGATGCTTACCTGGTCAAGAATCCACCAAGCGGTGAAATTGTGGAAGTGACTTTTCTTATCTGACATCTTTGTCACCCATGCGATGTTTAAACCCGGGGGTCACACTTAAATGCAAACACTAATTTGCGCAATCTGAAAGGTATTTAACGGTATATTTGTAAGTAATACAATGCTTAAAATATTTAAACAAAAGTTGAGGTACATACCAACGGACTTTTATTAAAATCTGTGTGCTATCCAAATTAGATTATTGTGTCCTCCTTATGCGCCTATAAGAAATATTTTCTGTTGTTTTTTTTTTCTATGATAAATTTTTTCGAAAACACAAAATTTCTTTTGAACGAGGTGCGTATTGCTCTCCTATCAATCAAAAAGAAGACTCTTGGATTTCTCGCTTAGGAGACATCACTTTTTAATCCTAAACGAGTAATAACGGAGTACAAAACCGACAAATCTCGCTTATTGCTCCCAAATCATGCATCAGGGAGCATTCTTTAATTGCTCGCTTAGGATATCTCTCATTACGCTCCTAAGCGAGCAATACAGGAGGACAAAACCGACAAATCTCGTTTATTGCTCCCAAATCATGCCTCGGGGAGTATTATTTCGTCGCTCGTGTAGGAGATCTCCTATTTGATTCCTAAACGAGTAATAAAGGAGTACAAAACCGACAAATCTCCCTTATTGCTCAGAAATCAGGTTAAGGGGAGTACTCTTTTATTCCTCACATAGGGAGATCTCCCTTCAGGTTCTAGTGGG